CAACATGGATCAAAATGGGGCATCTACCGCCCGACAGATTTCTTCTCTCAGAAAACAGCTGGAGAGCTTGGGCTGATTTTAAAATATAAAATAAAGTTAGAGTAATGACGTAACAGAGTCGGATTTTTGAATTTTTTCTTGGTTTCATTTTTCGAAGGATTTCACCTAGAAAGTTCGAAAAAAGCGCAAAAACTGACGTATAACTTTCAAGAGCGTAAAAGAATGACGGCCTAAATCAGAAATTAGTCTCTGTTATGTTGTTCCCATATGTCTTAGCTTCAATTTAAGATTAATCCGAGATCTCTCTCGCTTAATTTGACGGAGAAATCTTCCCGACAGTGTTTATCACGTAGGAAAAAGTCGTTTGAGATATAGCGGCGCTGGTGTACGACACACGCTTTAGGGCTCTTAATAAAACCGTTATAACTTTTGATTAAAGCATTGCTTAGTGCTGCGAGACGTCTCATTTTAACCATAAATGTTTACTCTACAAACTAGAGTCACTAGAATCCTTTTTGTTTCCGACATTTCATTGAAATATCAGAATTTCAGAAATATCAGGTTTGAAGGCCTTAGTTCTCATTAAAAAATCATTAATATTTTGTTGGTTTTTAAAAATGCAAAATACATCATCAACATACCTAACCCATATGAATGGTTTATTTGTTGAGAATCTATTTAGTTTTTGCTCAAGATTTGACATAAATGAATCGGTTAATATTGGTCCTAAAGGTGCCCCGATTCCTACTCCGCCAATTTGTATACATATTTAATCGAGAAATCTGAATGGAATGTTACAAACAGCAATTTTTAATAACCGTTTTAATTGTGAACGAATAAAAGGTATAGGAGGTCATCAAATAATTTTAAAATATACTTATTCATGGATTTTTCTCTACTAATTAGTGATGACTGTTTGGTATATTTAAATTACTTCAACTGGAGAATTTCTTCCATCTTTTTAATGTAATCTTTTTTATCTAGTAGAACAATAGAGTTACCTTTATCTGCACGACAAATTACGATATTATGATTATTTTTTAAAGATTTAATTGCATTAAATTTTTCATCAATAATATTCCTTATCTTTTTGTTTTTAACTGTTCTCATAAGTATTTCTGAATAATTATACAGTTTTCAACAAATGGTAGAAAATACATTAGAATGACAATGCTTTTGGATTTCAAACACTGTTCAATTTCATATCGGTTTTAAGGTCGATAAAGTTTGTAATTTTATTTTTAAAGCAAAAATCCATAATAAACGTTCTTCTGCTGGAGAAAGATTATATGAGGAAATATTATGAACAAGTTTTGATAGGAGTATTTCATAATTCTGACCGACTGGTCCATGATTTAATTTCTCTAATTTCTTCTGATGTATGTTAATAAATTTTTCTTTGTTCTTTTTTAGATTGCTCATGTAAATCTTTTTTCTAATAACTCAAAATCGGAATGAGTTATTTTTGATTTTAAGTGATCTAGTAATTTATTAATTTCATTATCAAATTTGATATTGTCTTTATGTCTATTATCATATTCTTATTTGAGACAAAAATGTTTAAAGGTTGAATATTCATGAGTAGATTTTATTCGTTTCTTCCAGAAGTTAATCTTAACAAATGTAGGTGTAAGACGATAGATTATGCTAAGGCGAAGAAATTCAAGATCACATTTACACTTTTGAAGTTTAATAGAAAGTTTTTCAATTTTTCTAATTGTAAGAAATAATAACTATAATACTACGATATATAGAAAATCTACCAATACTAATCTTTACTTACTATATGAAAGTAATTAATGCAGAGAATATAAATTAGGTTTAATTTTAATTATTAGTTATTCGTATACTTCTAATTTGTTCAACAGAGGAATTAAAGAATAACTGAAGTTAAATTAATGGAAGAAACGTTAATGATGAATGGTTATCGACAACATTTAATTAAACGAAGCATACGTGAAGGAGAGATTATCACTAGAAGAATGATATCTATACGACAACAAACACAGCAATCATTAAAAACGAAAGAAGTTTACTTTCTTCCCTCTTATTATGGTCAAAAATCAACCATATTAGCTCAAAGAATTAAACGAATATGTAAAAAACTTCTACCTCTTGTAGAAATTAATGTATGCTTTAGAAAACCTTTCACAACTAAAGTTTGTCTCTTCCCATCCAAAAAGGACTAGATGAATCAAAAAAGAAAAAGAAATTAGTCTATAAAATATCATAGCTACTTAAATTGTGAAAAATGTTACATTGGACAAACTAGTAGAGAAAAAGAAACTAGAAGAAACGTCATCTGACATAGAAAAACAAACTGAATCCTCGAATGTGGCTAAACATGCTTAGGCTATAACGATCATTTTCTATGCAAAATTTTGTTGATGAGTCGCTGCTGTCAGTTATGCTATGCTCCACAGTATGACTGAGTGAGTCTCGAATAGTTTATCGCTAATAAAGAGAAACATTCATTTGATTTTACACGATGTGAAACTCTAGCTCTCGCGACAAACTGGCGAATAAAGAAAGCATCAAATGCAAGGAAAATCTCTAAATGATGTAAAATTTAAATTAAATATTTTTACAGAAGATTATTATTAACTTTTTCTTGTTCTTTTTCTATTGATGTTCTATCAATTAGTAATCATACTATCTCTAGTGAAAGTTCTTGTAACCAAGTTCTTGATTTCCTGACTTTTTTCAGTAAGATCTTTGGTTCAAGATCTTAGGTACAAGAAGTTTCACTAGGGTATATATCGAGAGAGATTGTATTTCGCATAGAATTTTGCATAGAAATTAGGTTTAATTTTAATTAGAGTGTTAGTTATTCGTATACTTCTAATTTGTTCAACAGAGGAATTAAAGTTAAATTAATGGAAGAAACGTTAATAATGAATGGTTATCGACAACATTTTAATTAAAAGAAAAGAGTTTTAAAATTCATTTATTATATCAAAAAGAGTTCTTAAAATGTAATATCAACAGTTTTTATCAATTTCAGACTCGTTTTGTTTTTTGATGTTTGAAAAAAGGTCGAAATATATATTTTCTTAATAGACTATGCGATATAGTGCCATCTTTTTCTCGTTTATTTATTGGTTAATTACGTTACTCAATGGATTAGATGAAAAAGAATTTTGCACGAGGCAACCACTTTGGTAACCAGCATAGCGAGGCTCGTGCTTCATAGTAACGCGTACTTTTCTAGAAATTCAAGTAGAGGGAACGAGGAAGAAGTGTTCTGAGTAGGATCATTGTTCTTTGTCCCTTCACAAGTTCTTTACTGTCTTAGAGAGTAGTTCTGACACATTTCACGATTATTGCTGGATCGTTCAGTAAAAGACGTACTGTTCTATGACTGATCTGTTCTAAGATGTTTAAAACGGATTTTACTCTCTAAAAATATTATCTCTGTTTCATTTTTTTGGATGCATCCAATTCGACACGCTAAAGAACAGTTGGCTTCTGATATTCAAGAAGCGTCACATAAAGCACCAGAACTTGTCAAAAATGTAGTGTGTGCTGTTGGTGACCAAGTATCAAAGTTAAATGAAAAAATATTTGAACCAGGTAAAGAACAGCTGGCTGAAGATTTACATTACCGACATGGAGGGAAAAGGGAAAAATTACTAACACATGCAATTGGTGTGGGAAAATATGAAAAAATGGCACATTTTTTAAATGATAATGTTGTTCAGGCAATGAAAGATAAAGAAAATGATAATGCGAAGGTTGTGGAAACGAAAGAAGACAAAGATAAAAAATAAAGAATGATGTTGAATATATAGCAGATACATCTGTGATTCTGTGTCTTATATACTTTGTTTCATATAATTTTGATATGCTGATTTTTCTTACTAGATAAACTCGCTGATTTAGTTTTGATCTATAGTCTGTTTCTTTATTGTGGCTACTAGAGACCTCTCTTGATTGCACATGAGATAAACATTAATTCTATTTACTCTGATCTTTTCACTATACATAATGCACATTTTCTCAGCTGTGATACAAACACTGTTACTCAATCATCTGTTAATTTCTTATATTCATAATACACAATGTCTTGTCATGTGCATTAAGAATCAACTTCTTGTCTGATGTTTGTCCCATTTCAGAATGTTGCAAGGCAGTTATCGGACTCTGTGATTTTCAATTCTCTCGATTTGTTTAAATCTTGTTTTACGTGATTCTCTTCTTCATTTAGTTCTTGATTCTTGTTGCACATGAATCATTTTGAAACTCGAATTGAAATTCTTAACTTTTTCCACAGTGATGATAGTGATTGGAATAATTTGTCATGACTTCCAGCGCATAACTCGATTTCTACGATAATCTGATATTAATGTACTCAGGATGTATTATTTATCACGCGAAAAAGGAGTATAGTTGAACGAATGAGAAACAGTAAAGTTCACTCAGATATCACTTGATTTAGCTGAGTTTATTCATTTAGAATATTTCGTACGTCTTGCATAAAAAAGAAAAAATAATTTTTCTTTGCATTAACTGTTAGCTATATATATGTTACAGTGAAAATAAAAATTCAGTGGAATTTAAAATTTCAATTTCCACTGAATTCTTGCCAGTAGAAATTAAAATTTTAAGTTCAACTAGCGGAGAATAAATTTTTAATCTCTACTATAATGGGATTTTAAATTCCACTAGGCAAAAATGACTAACACTCATATTTCAATCTCCACTATAGCGCAAATCAAAATAGTAAAAGAAACTTCTCTTCAGAAATACTTATAGACTGAGATAGTATAGAAGTTCACACAGTTAGTTATAAGTCATAATGGATATATTTTATGAAAAACTCGATGCGCACATACTCAAATTAAATGAAAAATTACATGCTAAGAATTCTCCAGTCAGACAACGGAAAGGAGTTTGTGGCAAATGTCATCAAAGTAATTTGATTTTAGAGGTTAATCCGGTTGAAATACAAGATCTTCCATTTTTCAGGATTTAAAGAAAAACGTAGACGAATCTCAAAAAAAATTTGTGATTGTTAATAATATTTTTAATAAAAAAAGAGTATTCCTTTTACTATCAGCCTCATGTCAGGCAAATTATAATTTCCACTACAGTGGAAATTGAAATATGAGTATTAGTCATTTCTGCCTAGTGGAATTTAAAATCCCATTATAGTAGAGATTAAAAATTTATTCTCCACTAGTTGAACTTAAAATTTTAATTTCCACTGTAACATATATATCTCATGTGTGCATTCATGAAATTCAATCGATAATTAACAAATGCGATTTGAATATTCATGACGACGAGTATTTGAATATTACCTGCCACCTTGTCCAGATATTCCGGACAAAGTCCAGTTTTTGGAGATTTTTTTTTGAATTTCGAGAATTTTCTGCTTTTGGCTGTTTTTCTCTGATCATGAAGATTTTTAAGTATTTTTTTTATCTATAGTTTGTGGAGGTTGTCTTTCTCATATTATAGGCCAGCTAAAAATGCCAGTTACTTTTCGGATCAAAAATATACATTTAAAAAAACAACGTGTCGATCAAAGTCGATTTTTTTATTTATGTTTGTTATTTTCTGGTGTTTTATCGAGTAAAGTCATATACAGCTAGAGAAGAAACCTTTTTTGGCACTCTGCGCATTGGAAAAAGGTTAAATAAGGCACTGAAAATGGTTTTCCGTTCTTTTTTCGGATTTTAGAATTATGATTCCGGATTTCTGACTTGTACAGGTGGCAGCTCTGGTTGAGAAGCATATTCTGAAACTTTTGCATTAGACATACTTCCGGAGAAATATAGTTGAATTAGAAAGAGTAATGGACTCAATGTATCTCAAAAAACTTTACAATGTCAAGAATTGTCAAAATGGTATGAGAAAAAAAAGTGCATAAATTAACAGCTTCCAACGCTTTAAAACGCCTTCAACAATTACGAAAACTGTATCTTCGACTAGCGAATAATCGCGAAAATCTAATGATGATAAAATAGATTTCTAAAAGGATGAAGAACGTAAGAGATATATTTTTTGTAGAAAAACCGAATGAAGATGAAAAGAATTTTCTTAAACTCATCACAGTCGATTATCACTGGTGTATGTCCAATATTGTATACTCTACAACACAAAGTTTTTTGTATTTGACCATTGTTGACTTTGAATAATTGTTCCTCGTCGTCATTAATAGTCAAAAATTGTGATTCCATTCACCTATAAGTTATAGATAGAATCACAAATTTTTTATGATAAAACTTGTTTTAACATCAAGAAAAAAGAATAAATTAGCGTTTTCTTCGTATACAGCTGACTTTTAAGTGAAACAATCTTTGTAAATTAGATAAATGTAAAAACAAGAATAAAAACGAATTTTTTATATAAAACCATAAATTCTAGTTTGCAGGCTACTACAAGTGCATGGTTGGCAAATATGAGAACTCAATCAAAATTTCTCCACTGATCATGCTAAGTTCTCGTGGTGGTCATGATCGAACACGAACGATTGTGCCGATTCTTATTGGCATGTTGTTCAACATGAATGGTACGTGGAGACTATTCACATCAGTTTTATTAGAAAAAACAAGTTCATTTTATGTAGTTAAAGAAACGTTAAAACTAATACGGACTTACATGCACAACTTGTTAAAACTAACAGTTTCCAAAGTCCTCCAGTAACGAGTACGACTTATCGAACGACTTACCCAACCAATATTTTCTGTTTTTCTAGTTCAAATTTTACAAGTCGAGTAGATGTTGAAGATATATCGCAACAAAACATAGGTTTTTCCAGAAAAACTTTTTAAGTAAACGGGTGCGCAGTTGTGAGTCGAATAAAAGTTCTATCGATCTTAGTGGAATTGATTATTAGACCTGATTTAAAAGATTTCTTTTACACAAATTGGAGTGTTTAAAATATATGCTATGCATTAGAAAATAGCGTTGTTATTGACACAGGATTCATTATGTTGATGCACAATCTGTTTACCTTGCATTAAATTCTAAGTTAGATCTCTTTTTTGTATGAATCCGCCCGCATTCGTGGAAGTGTCATGTTACCAAAGTGTATGTAAGCAGCTCTATAAATGTTTTGTAAGA